AACGTTTTATTGAATGATCATTCATGTAAAGGACATTACTGTAAAACATTAGCCGACTTTTACCTTAGTTGTATTCAACATTAATGTTTCTTTTTGTCTAAATAATGGTAAAAGAATAGGTCAGATAAATGTGTGCTATTTAGTAAGTGATCTATATTTTTATTGCAATTTTCAATGATAGCATCACAATTAGATATTTCCAGATACTTTGCAGATGTAGCTGGAGATAAAAACAGGTAAAGAAAACTTAGTAGAAGCGTTTAGTACAGATGTTTTACCCGCAAGCATGCCATAAGCATACAGCCAGAGCCTACAATAAAATGGTTCAAATATGAGCAAATTCATCACTTATAACTGTCCAGTCAAATTTCTGCTGTAAATCTAGATTAGGATTTGTATAAAGATATGAAAACGATGTTGAAAGCTTTTATGTGGTCTGACTGAGCCATTTTGTGAAGATGAATAGATAAAAAATGTCTCTAAGCTGGTAAATACTGATCTGTGATGTTATTCTGTTAAAATGTTATACTGAGTATGAGGAGCTGATTATGAATAAACATCACAGTTTATAGGTTTTGTTTTTAAGAAGAATTAACATTGCAAGTCATTGTGAATGTTGTTTTATGGCCCCATGTCTGTATAAGATGTGCGAGATGAATACACTTTAAGCCAGCACTAAAAAAGGACATTAGCAGCAAAAATGCCAAAATGATCTAGATAAAGAAAAAACATGCTCAAATATGTCCTCAGTGAATCCATCTGTTTATATCTCAAAAACAATCAGAATGTGCCAAAGATTTGATATGTGTGCCAGATGAAGGAGGAGTTAAGCAAAACAGAGATAAATATGTACAAAGAGCTAATAAGTCCAAATAAAGCCATGTTGGTGAGCAAGAGAGAGAGAAATAAGTAGTTATGGTAAAATGAGGCGTAATAAGAAGAAGAAACAGAAGGATGGAGAAACATCCTGCAGATATTCTTAAAGAGAGAAAAATTGTACCGCTCTGATGCTGGCTTTTATTTTATAATAAAACAGAACAGGGAGTGTTTCTGTGTTTTATGAACAGCTGGAGAGGGGGGAGAAAACCAGCAAAACTCTAACACAGCTAAACAAACTTAAGTGATGCAGAGAGATCTCAACTCTTCTTTTCTAAAAGCATGCAATAAAGCAAAAACAAATAATTACTTTGTGCAAAACCACAGTTTAGGCTTGAAGCAAGCCAACAGGAAAATTAGATAGACTATATGGAGGGTAACAGGAGTTTCTCTGGTTAACAGTCATACTCCCTTGTAGCTCTAGCAACAAGCCACTTTCCTTGTACCGCCATAAGTTTTTAATAAGGCTGATTCCCAGCAGAGCTCATTGCCCAACCTTGTGCCGAGCGCCTCTCCAACATTTTCCATGACATTTCAGAAATGTTCCGTAAAGGGCAGCAGAGTTTGTATAACAGCATGAAGCTGATTGAACCAGTCTCTATAATTGAAAGTGAATGGTTTGTGGATGTGCCAAGCTATCAGCATTTTGGGTGTGTTTTCTTCTCTCTAACCCTCGTAGGTTTGGACTCCTGCTCCTTGGCAGTCATGTGCATCACATCACTTAGAAATTCAATTTATCAGACTATTTTCTTTTCCCATACTGTTTCTAGTAACCAATTCTCTCAAAATGTGCCTCTGTAGTCTGTCGTTATCACTTTCTCAGCTGTTCAACCTGTCATAACAGCTTATAAACTGTTTATCTTTTTACACAACTGTTTAAAAGTATAATCACATGGCTGGTTGACATTTCCAGTGATCAACATTAAAATAAATGAAATCCAGAATGTAAGAAGGATATTACTGTCCTCCTACGCTGTTGTCTCATTCCTTTTACTCTTATTTTGTATTTTATCTCATTCTCTAGAGTCGTCTTCACTCCATCTTGATCCATATTTTTGGGATCCCCTGTCTTGGTGCTCCATTTTTCATTTTTGTGCTGTCCTTACCCTAATAAAGACAGAAACAGTTTCTTGTTGTCTACCACCCAGGGGCATTCAAGGGTCACACACTGTCTTAAACTTTCAGTCACAGAGGAGAATCAGTTTTTTTTCTGCCTCTATGACAGTCTTAAATCATACTGAAGAAGTTTATGTGTCTGAAATAATCCAAAATAGAAAGTCTTATCTTGACGGTCAGAGACTCTGTTTCTTTTATTTGCAAGCGAGTAAATAACTAAAAGTAATGAGAGACATGGTCGCGAGTTATGTAGACAATGAAAAGAATACCTCCATTTTGAGAGTGTAAGGGGTGTAAGGATCAGGAACAGGAACACAGCTAAGTCAGAGACAAAACAACAGGAGAGACAGGCATGAAAAAATGAGAAACAAGATTAAATGAAGGTGTGATCAGGAGGAGAGGAGAAACAGCTGAAATCATTGAACAGAAATAGCCGAAGGAAGAGACCAAATCAGCAGAAGCTAAAACATTAGGAAGATATCCATCTGAAAATATCAAAATAGACAGAATAAGTTTTGTTCACTTGTAAAACATTTGAGTAAGTGTACAAACCACTGTATTTTTGGTCACCCTCCCCCCTCAAATATGTTATATAAAAACATGTTAAAAAATCAAAACAACTAATTTAACATCACTTTCAATTTTCAACTACAGGAAAATGTGCGATAATATGAGCTGAAAGGTCATCATTTAAAAAGTCTACCACATGATAAAAATATAATTTATCCAATTATCAAAATTGTGAATGAAATAAAAAATAAAAGAAATTGGATGTACTAACCTGGAAAGAAAGGGAATGTAAACATCATGACAAAAGGCTGGGTTTATGTTGCTAACTTGAATGCTAACCAGATTTACATTACATGTAATGTGAGTCTGGATTTTAAATTTCAAGCTAACTGCACGATAAGGAGGGAGGGGAACGTGGGCTAACTGATCAAGGCAAGTCAAAATTTATTTGTATAGCACAATTCAGTACAAAGACAATGCAAAGTGCTTTACATGATTAAAATATAGGAAGATAAAACAGAATCATAGCAAGTAGGAAAAAATAAAATAAAAAATGCAGAAACAGATCAGTACTGTATTCAACCATGCACTGTTACACCTATCGTTTTTATCGGATCAATACAGTTATCCTCTATGTTCACGCACTATGGACTCACAGATTGAAGGCATTGCTTTCAGCTCCATCAGGAGGGGACAGGGAAAAGGCACTGTGTTGGTAAGTGGCAGGATTTCAAAATCTCCCCTCTCATCTCATGAAAAGTTACAGACCACAGCTGTAAAGGCAGCTAATACTAGCAGTAATGGGTACATATTTAGGTTTATATATATGAGATGAAAAACCAACTCACAACCCAATATGTAACAGGGTGTCCTATTTCTAACTACCAAGAGGACATATTTATCTAAAAACAGCTTGAATTTGTCTAAGGGCTTATTTTTTGGTCACAGAACGAATCTTGTTTAGGGGATTCAAGTATATCTGACAAATACAACTTATGACTAACTTTTACAGCTTATATGAAATAAAAAAAACTGAAAAATCCATTGATGTTGTGAGTAGTTTGAAATAATTTTATTTCCTATTTCCATCACATTAAACTTGCACACAGCCTGGTGTAATTTTATAAACATTAGCTCTCTCTGGGATTTAAAAAAAGTATTCTAATTCATATATAAGTAAATTAAAAAAACAACATATGCATCCAAATAAAGAGATTTTTTGATTCTGGACTTGTTCTTTCTCCGAATGGGAATCATACAAGTATAAAATCTTAACTCTTGATATTGTTTAGCAGCAATGTCCAGCTGAAAAGCCAAACTAATGTTCCATTGAAAAGATTAAGATGTTAACATTACGCAAAGTAAAACCTACACCATATCATATGGGGCAGCTAAGGCGTGGTACATCAGATCAAATGTGCCTCCAGCGTTGTTAAGTTAGAGCAAGGGTAAATACGGGTTATACCTGCCAACTCAGCACAAAGCCTCCCTCCCTGTCTTTATCTCTTTGTAGAAAGGAAGATCAAAGCTCCGCCAGAGGATTCACCACATCAGTGAGCTTCCAAGATGCACATGGATATGCCATTCTGTTGCCAAGAACTGCACTGAAATACCCAAGAGCACGTACAGCCTCCTGTGCTTCCATGTGTGCTACCTTAACAGTTCATTTTATCATCTCTGCTTCAGACATGAAGATTTGATTATAAGCATGTTTGAAAACACTTGGCTTCATGTGGTGAATGATGATTAGACTTTTGAAGGAACCAGACGTGCTAATGGTCTGCAGCTTTCATCAGTAATGAGGGAGGCAGGGTCAAATTGGGGAGCGCAGTGTGTTACTTCAGATGAGACTCTCAGGATCAAAGGTTCTTCTGAGCTTAACATGCTTCTCTCTCTCACAGCCTGTGCATCTCTGGATAACCCCAGACGTCCTTGGATCACCTTTGCCCCACCCACACTCAGATAAAGATGCAGGGAAATGCAGAGGACCTGTCAAAGTCTCTTAAACTCTTAAATCCACCCAGTATACAGCAGAGAGGTAAAGTCGGTTCGTTACCAAGGCAAAACTGGTTGAACTCACAAAACTGCATTTTGTTTTTAAACTTATTTGATGATGTAACAGAAAATGTTATTTTCTCACTACATACCTACTGCTTATTTTACAGACTATAACCCTATTTGTTTTTGTTTTTTTTCCTACACAAAATAAATACACAACATTGCAAATATATTTCTCAATTTTGTCCGTTTCCAGCGTCAGTTTACTTGGATTAATCACCACATCACATCTGAATAATTTAGATCGTAGCCAACAAGTAGAGACTTTACTTTGGGATTTTGGAAAAGTCCTTGATGAGTCACTTGCTGTTTCTGTTAAACCTATTTTATGACTCAAAATCACAGCAGTGACACAGAAACCTCACACTCAGCTAGTTTTTTAAAGATGGGTGTGATGTGTATGGGTGAGAATCCACACCTTTGAATCTTTTGTCACTTACCTAAGTGTCTTATTCATGCATCAGTAGCTGGGAAGTGTATGCGTAGGTATTCTCTGGAGCGAACATCAGCCTGTAGAGGAGGAGAGTGAAATAGAAAGAGGGGAACAGGAAGAGGAATAGCTTTTTAGAGTCTAAACTAGATTTTTTCACATCCCATCCCAAATGAATCTTTGAAATGTACACATTATGAAAAGAAAAGTGTAAGGGTTCCATACTTGGACCCTAAGGATTAAACAATTAGGCTGTTTTGACAAGAAAAATGCATTTTTTTAAACAAAATATGAGGAAATAGTTATGTTTCAAGCTTCTGAAGATCTATCATCAGTATGTGTGTATCATGCTGCGGTGGGAGGACCAACCTAATTTCTTCTCTTGTTTTGCTTTGCTATCCATTGAAAATTGTCACGAGAATTCAGAACTCATGTTTAACTTTAGGAAAAACATGTTATGTTTTCATAAGAACTACAATTTTAGATTGAAATTTAAAAAATGCACCAAGTAACAGCATCACTGCAGAGCCTCAGATGTTTTGTCTTCCAGCGCTGCTATGACCCTTCTGGAAATAGTGCTGCTCCCTTTGCCTCCCTTTTCACCTCTCTGTCTATAGAAGTTGTATAAAAAGGCACCTGAGCGACTGAAAAGGCACGAGGCTCCAGGTCTAGATGGTATCTCTAAAAGACTCCTGAAGAACTGAGCATAGATTGATCCTGTGTTGTTGAAGACCTTCCTTGTTTCAGTACCAACACCACTCAGCCACAAGTCCTCAATGACTAATCAGTTGTTCCCTCACATCCCAGATCACAGAGGTCTTAGATAGACTCCTGTTGGCCCATCTTAATGCGGTCATAAAATGGGACTGATGGACCCAGTATTCAAGGTGAGACAACCAGTAGGAAAGTAGAAAAAGTTTATTAAAACAAAACCATAAACAAACAGAACTGAAGCGCAGGGTTGTGGATCTGTGATCATGGTGACTGCAGAAGGGGGGCCAGGGCACCGCTCAATCACTGACACTCAGAAGGGAGAAACACAGGTAAGTGACCACAATCCTCTGACAGGAGATGACCATCAGAGTGAGTCATTACCTGGTTTAAAAGTTCAGTCCATCCTCTCAATAATAGGCAGGATCAGCCAATGCATTGCTAACTAGATGCAGCACTGAGCCGCCCATAGTGCCCCCTGATGCTGCAGCCCCAGAGAACAGGCAGGAACAGTTAAGGGATCCATGAGTTCTCTGCTCGATCAGAGGTTCTGACCCAAACAGGAACAGAGGGATCCAGGCTTCCAGGAATCCTCAGAAGGCAGGTACAGAGTCAGCTAGGTCCAGAAGTGTGCCCAGACTGACACACACAGATGCATACAGGGGAACCGCCTAAGGCAGGTTCAGAGTCCTGTGTGCGAGCAACCAGCTCAGACAAAAACGCACAGACAGGCAGAATCCAGCAGGAGTGCAAAAGTGGTTCAGAACAGATCAGGCGGGGACAGACAGGGCCAGTGGATGAGAGGGAACGGAATCAGGCAGACAGAATCAGTAGCAAGGCTGAAACACTCTCACCACTGGTTAGGGAATTAACTCGCCTGAAGACACTAGAGCCAGAATAATCTCCTTACTGGAATAGGGGAGATGAACCCTTGACTAACATAAACTTATGAAAACAGAACCTAAAGACATCTAACAGGGAACAAACAAACAGCAAACAATTATCTGGCCCGGAAAGCTGGAAATGAGCCCAATATAAAGTAAAAGACGCAGGTGGATTAGATAAGTGATAATTGGAGACCAGGCAGAGTTAGGCAGGAGAAAGGCATTAACAATAAAGGCCAGCTATCAGGGCAGATCATGACAAATGCACAAACAAGCAGCTATCAGGAACCCCTGCAGTTTTCTTACCGCTTTGGAGTTAAAGATGCCCTCATATACTTTCTTCAATAAACCCACCGTCATTTAGACCAGTCAGACAGCACCATGAGGATTTGATTACTCCGGTGCATTTCACATGATTCCGTCTGATTTGTTTTTCAGAAAATCAAGAAGACGGGGGAGGAGGAATCAGGTATTTAACATCACAGGAGCACCACAGGGGACAGTACTCTCACTATTTTGTTTTACTGTGTACACCTCTAACTTGCAGCACCAGACAGAGACGTGTCTTCTGCAGAAAAACTTTGATGACTGCAGTAATTGGGTTCATCAGAGAAGAACATGAAGCCGAGCACAGGAAGCCAGTGAACCACTTTGTGGCATGATGTAGAAACATTCGTCTGATCCTGAATATGAACAAAACGAGGGACAAGATTGCAAATTTCAGGACAAAGGAGGGCAGTTCCATCACTATTAGTATCATAGGGGGAAAAGTGGAGTTGGTGGAGGAGTATAAATACCTTGATGTTCAGCTGGACAAAAGATTTGACCTGAGACACAACTGTGAAGAAGGAACAAAGCCAACTGTACTTTCTAAGAAAGTACAGGTCCTTCAGTGTTTGCACCTGGATGCTGCATACCATATTTGTCTGGTGTGGAGAGTTTGCACACACTTGAAAGTCAGAAGCTCTTTAGTTAATCAGAAAACAGCATGTTCATAAGAACGTTGAGAGGGCATGCTGAGATACGACAGATGAAAATAAAACTTCCTTGAAAATTGTTGTCTGATGAAGCTATTGCTTCCCTCAGTTATACACTTCAGATGTATAACTAGCTAACTCCATCCACTAGACCAAGATCGTCAGCCACTCTGTTCATCAGAATGGATTGTCTTCCTAGGTAACAAAGTGGAGTGTGTATGACGTCATCCGTGCACCGGACTGGAGTTGTGATAAGTAGCCCGGGCCACAGGCGGTTACGCTCTACTCCTTCTATTCATTCGGCTAGCTAATCTGAATCGTTTAATTCCATTTGGAGAGCGAGATCATCTGTGGTAGTAGCACTAGACATCTTCCCGGCATGAGAGTAAAACTAGCAGCAGTTCAGCGGACAGGATGAATAAATGGTAGCTGTCTGGTGGACAGTGATTCGCCTACATTATGAATGCTGGCATACCATAAAGAATCAATTATGAACAGTTTCGTTTGTGCCTTCAACTCGTTGCCCATAGAAAGACGTTAAGTGGATATAACCTAACGGAATATCTTCATAAAGGCACCAAATGACACAAAACTTATATGAGTGAGTAGAACATGATGTAATAACGTAAAATCAAGGGGCCAATGTAAATAAAAACGGTGTTCCCCTTTAAGGAAGGAATGTAGAGGATCCAGCAAACAGTAACTGCAGAGGAGGAGTATAACTCCCAAACAGAACAAAGAATGGAATAATCAACTGATAGGGAGTAGGTGTGGACAGAAGGCTCTAGAAGGGAGTTGGGAGAAGGAGACTGGCACAAGGGGGCAACAGAGAATAAACAAGAAATACATAAGTGCTCAAATACAACCAGAAAACAACTAGAATGACACAAAATGGAAATATCACCAATGACCAAGAAAACACAGAATGACATAAATCAAAGTATTATTGAAAACTTAAAAAGAAAACTTATACTGAAACAAAAAGTCCAGAAAGGGCAGAATCATGACATTGTGAGATAGGGATATTTGGCGGAACAAGCAGTTCCACACTAAACCAGAGGGTGGCAGCAGTGACTATCGACAGCCTCAGCATGGGACTCAAAAAGTCGAAAGGTGTTTTACTGAAGACAAAAACACAAGAAAAGAAAAGGTTGATGATTTTTTTAGCAGGATCAATTGAAAACTTGTGAAAAGAGGACATTTCTACCAAAGGTGCACCTCATGCCAAAGAACAATTCATTTAAATTTGGTAATGAAACAGATCATATGGGAGTTTTAGCTATAGTTATAAGTCACCAAATGGGGCAAAATGTAGTGCTTGGCAGAGTCTGCGCTCTCTGAGTGCTATTCTATTTTATTCCTGTTTCCAGTTCTTTAAGAAAAATCTTTATTCTATACCAACATATTCATACTGAGCTCCATTGTTTTATTTATTATTGGTTTTAGCTTAACATAATTTGTTTCTGAATCTAGGTGTTAACAGGAGGTGAAGCAGCCCAGCTGTGCTTAACACACTCTGAAGCGTGACACTAGGGGTATTTATCCATAAATAGTCTGCACGTTTTTTAGCAGTGACAAGATGATCTCAGATGTTGTTTTTACTCCTTCCAGCCTGTTTTTATAAAAGGCTTGTAAGAATTTAAATCAATTTTAAAAACCTGCATGCAAGGGAAATTTTGTAACACCACCTTCAGCAGTGTTTTTTTGTTTTTACACTACTCTGTGCCTGGTGGCTAAAAATACTCTTATTTACATATTTCTATGCCATCCATAAAAGCTTATGTGGTAGTGGTTAGAGCGAAAACCACATGGGTACAGATTTCCTGAGTCGAGAGTGCCAGATTATTTTTGACAAATCCCTGCATTCTGCACAAAATAACCTATTAAAATGGATTAGCATACATAAATATCACTTATTTATATTATGTAACAGAAAAGTTTCTACTAGTTCCCAAAAGCTGTTTGAGATCAGGGTATTACATGCAGACTCATGCACAACTGCAGGGCTGCTTTGCTAAAGAAGTAGAAGGAAAATAGTTAATACTTTGTTTTCTGCACATCCTGCTCTTGGTTTGCCTACAGATGTTCAACAGTGTGAAGATTGTAGAGTGAAAAAGATGGAAAAAGAAACAGAAATTATTTAGTGCAGAAATAGGGCAATAAAAGCATATAAAAAGGATACATCAATATCCAGACACAGGAAGATAATGAATAACTCAACAGTAGACAATAATATGTTTAATCATAAAATAACATAATTTAAACCTTTTACCATTTCACTTAAGAAGCAGGTCATGTTTAATTTTACAAACTAGATAAATTATCTTTAAAAAAGTGTAAATTGCCCACCAAAATAAAAGCAAGAGTTTGAATTATCGTAGTTATTTTAATTTTAATTAATTATTTTATTTTAATAATTGACCAGACTTTCCGTCTACCCTAAGATGCATCTTTGTCTTCTCCAAGCTCTTTTACCCCAGAGGCATTTCACATGAATAACCACATTCT